TTTAAAATATTTAATTTTAAAGACAAGTCTTGATTCGTGTAAAGCTGGAAAGTATTACACGTTAATTGATATGTCGCAAAGATCCGATCACTTCATTGGTTATCAGCGTATTTAATTTGTTCTTACAAAAGCTTGCTATCCGATTACTACCTTTAATTTGTCATTTAGTGTATGGGATACGGTATTATATCTGCTTGCCGTAAAAAAATAAGGAATATCCAATGTTCAGACATTTACAGCCAAGTGTTAGTCGACTTAACGCCGTGTTTTACAGTATATTTGGAAAATATAACACATTATTTGGATTACTTGAAATTGTTGATCATGTTCGAAATCCGTGCTTTGATATTCACGATATCCTTTATTAATGTCTAGTTTATTTTATTTCTTACATGTATGACAACATACACTATATTGTACATACATACAAGGCTGGCATGTTGATTTGCACATTTCTTTTGCAAGGACGGATGTCTTCGCCGGTGTACTTTGATAATAGCACGATTTGCGATTGTTCTACGAACATATGTGACGAAAGATACGTTTAGTGACGTCCGGATGACGTCATACTAAACAGACTTCGATGTCTCTGTATAATGAATGAACAAGACTTTTAACAGAAAAATCACATTTGAAAATGAACTGTCCGGTTCTATTTCTTCATAGGTATATATTTAATTCATACAATAACGATAGACCAATTATTTAGATTTAAAATATTTTGTACTTCAGTAAGACACGTGTATATAGGTAACATTTGTCGCATCACACAAATCTATGTTTCCCCACATACAGGGGAACATAAACCGTATCGTATTAAAGCAATTATCTTATTAATACGTAATCGTAACGAGAACTGGGATTAGAAAGGTGATACGAGTTAGCGTGAGCGGGGAAGCCTGCCGACAGGGATGAACAACCCTTTAATGTAGCGATTGAGACACGTCTCTCACAAGTGGATTTATACATAGTACATTGTTTTATCTATAGCTTCTTTTAGATAATATTATTTACAATCATTTGGAGCGAATTGCACGCTTTTATTACTAAGTCAGGTGTCAGATCGATTAGTGAAGGAACATAAGCGTTGATATTTTAATAAGGCTAGTGTTGCACCGGCACAGTGTCGGATTTTCTTACTACCTATACATATTATTTAATAAAATTGGAGTGTCTGTATGTAATATCTATGAAAAATATATTTCATACATATGATGTATTTGCGCCGCTGATTGTCTGTTTGTCTGACCTCAAGGCCACTTTTGTTCCTGAGTAACTTGACGGGAAGGTAACTGAAGTCATGTGGGGATATTATAGGCTACTTTTATTTTAAATTCTGCGCTGATGAAGTCGCGGGCTACTGCGAATAGCAAATATAGTGTTCGTAGATTCCAAAAAATTAAAAAAAAAGTACATTGTTTTATGTAGCTTTTTCTTAAAAAGGTTAATGACCTCTGGTATTTCCTAACGTATAGACTTTTTACTTGTTCGATTTTCATTACATTGGCTAGTAAGAAAATATGCTTAATCTTATTGCGGTGCTCAAAACAAATTGATGCAATATCACATAAAAAACTTAAGTTGTAATGGCGCTCCACCGTATTTTAGTCACGAATTTTTTTATAAGTAGGAAAATAAATAGACAACTATTGGTTACACTTTAAGCCTCGCAGTGGGAGTTTCAGCCGGTTTTCACCAATAACTTTGGCGGCCAATGATCCGTTCCGCTCATGTTTTATGTATTTACATTATAAAAAAAACTTTTACATTCTCAAGTATATTGAGAGTGTGAAGCTAGATTGCGATCTGCGAACAATTTCCCGCACTCTCTCTCACCCATTAGGTATTGTATGCCATTTAAAAGATTTATCTTATATATTTATATCTAGACATGTCCGAATTTTATCTACGTATTGAAATTTGTGATGCGTAAATTTGCGTTTATTTTTAACGAAAGTATTGTTACTATGCTGTAATTTATATTTTTACCGGTTATTATTCTGCTCTTTGTAAAATATACAACAGTGGTAGGGTCAGCAACTGTTGCACTTAAGCGGAGCTTTGAGTCCTCTTCTGTTTCCTGATAAGATAATGGGAAGGGAAGGTGGATTTGGCGAAGAGAAGAACGCAAAGGAACGGGAAATATCCTCTCTTTTGTGCGTTCCCCTGTTGATTAAATGCAGGCAACGCAGCTGCTAAATGCGGATGTCTTTGCGCAGCAGTCACTTCACTATTTGGGCAAATCCAATTAACTGCGTACTCGATTACCACTTTATCCTATAAAAAAGAATAAAGAGTAATATAAAAAGTTAATGTCAAGTATCGTCAAAATATTATCACAAATTTTCTAGCGTCGCTATAAATTTATTAAAAATTCTACAGACTAGCAATGCGACGTCAGTCGGCTTTTAAACAAATATTTTAATTTAAAAGAAATATAAACGCTGAATTCCATTCGCAGTATGTAAGCGGTGAAAGTAAATTTAACATCAACAGATCTCGGTCGGGGAATTATTATTTAAACATTTATCATGGTATTAAGAAAACATAATTAATATCCAACAATCTCTTACATATCACTGACTGACATATACCACAGTTACTAAGAGCTAAGTTACTAAGGCACCTCGTACACAAGGCTACGTAAATCTGTTGTCTGTCTTCTTTGCCAAAGGCAGTCGCTCGCTACCTATTTGTCAACATCGTCGTGAGAGTCGCTGCAATATTTCAGGATGACGGAGCTATAGTTGACATTTTATTTTTTTGTCTTAGCCGTGTATTCGTAATGCTATCTAATTAGACGACGACTGTTGTGTTTACGGAGCGCGCGTAACACGATACTCGCGACGCAAATACAATATTCGTTTCGAAGATTTTACATTTCCTTGGGCTTAAAGTTACTAAAAGTTATTGACAATGATCTTAGTTAAATAGTTTCTTGTAGCTTGTGTTATTTTCCTGTAACAACCATTTACTTCGTGACTAATTTCTAAATCTTAGTGAATAACAGTTTGTTAATTTTTAACAAAGTAAAAAATGATTTAATAGCAAATTTTGTAAAACTTTTTATTGGTAAGGTAAACTTTCGTTAATAATTATTAAAACGTATCGTGCTATAACAAAATGCATGTAAATCAAGAGTTCAAATAATAATTAAATTTATCACACTGCACTCGATGTTTACTCGTCCTTAATTACTTGTTGATAGTATTTTTTTCTTTTGATAACTTATGGTTACTGAGTAAACATATTAATAAACGTATTATCTATATATGTCGTAATAATATATATTGCAGCAGATTTATTGTGGTCACATAAAGTACGGGTGATAGGTACAAAACAGGATAAGAACAATGTCAATACAACGCACCAAGAATTCCAGATTCACATCACATCGTTTACTTGTTTTTTTATTAAAAGTACAAATACATTATATCACCGATTATTTACTGATTGAAAGTCATTTAAAGTTGTATAATCTGACAATTTTCGATAAAATTACCGTTTAAAAATTTACCGTGGGTTTCCACTGTCGAAACGTACAAAACATATCGCTATCCCTTTCATTGTCTGTGAACAAGACAGAGATTCCATTACGTTTTACAGCTGCTTTAACCGTAGATTTGTGCAGTCAATTGAATTAGTGAAGATAACTTATTTTAACTATTCTCTCTTTAAAGTAATGCACAATACTCGTGATGCGGCACGTATCTGGAATCGACTGACGTCATACTCGCAATCCGTCGTGTCACCCAGATAGTGATAAACAAACGGACGGAGCGCCTTCACAGATATCTGATAACATCTCTTTCAACGCAAAAACTGAGATATTCCCTGAAAAGTCTCTAAAGATGATATTAAATTCATTTTAAATGTTTTTTAGATGTGAGGTTAAGATCATAAAATAATATGCACAGTGCATATTTGTCTCGTTCTAACACAAAGGTATTAATTGGAAAATCAAAATACTAAATCCCTTAGACACATAACTGATATTGTAGAACTTCTTTAAAACGTTCGACAAAGGTTGAGAACCTCTGAGCCGGCGATCGGAAACATTACGATAAGTGAAATGCATATATCTTGTTTACACATATCGTTAACTCACTTGTTTAAAGGAATTTCATTTAAATTAAGGCGAGATACGAAACCGGTCGACGTGGCCCAAAAGGTGTCGACAACTTGCGACAACTCCACTGTGGTTGCTAGTGAAAGTATATGCAAGTGACGAGGTAAAGCTCCGGACACACAGTAAAATTGAACACAATTCGCACTCGTTCGTAGTCTGGAATGTTGACTTTAACTTTTGAGAAAAAATTTATAGTTAACACTACGTTTTAAACTTACATAAATATTCTGGAAACTTTAGATTCCCATAATAAGATAAGGATAATTAAATAAAATACAGCCAAACCTGGATAAGCGAGACATCTTATGCGAGTGTTGTTTTAGGGCAAAACCTTTATAAGCCAGAAAAATAATACGGTCTCTGGGGCTCTGGCTTATCAAGGTTGAACTGTACTTACACTAAGAACATCTTGGAATGAAAGTTATCGAATATTTAACGATGTCTGATGAGACTTTAATGATATTTGTTGTCGACCACCCAACTGTCCGACTGTTACGTCACTCAACTTATTAGTATTAATGTATAAACAATAGAATAACAAAGCAAGTTACATTTTAGTCGAATGAACGTTAATTTACATATACTAAGATAATGTTCAAGGGAATATTTTGGAACAAAGTAACCGTTTGACTGTTTTATAATGATTAGAGACTTGTCATATTCGCAAAAGGAAATAAATCTTGCGGAGTCAATATAAAATAAATAATTTTGATTAACAAAAGTGTAAGACAGTTCTATTCAAGATAGAAAATATTTTTATGAAATCTTCGATGTTTTTGTGAATTTAGTTTTAATATGATCGCAATGGATGTATTATATATTCTATTTCTTGAACTTTCATTCGATAAATTGATATGTTTTATGTTTGCAGTATAAACACGGAGAAATGATAGCGGCGGTGAATGACTTTTTAGATGACCTGCGGTGAGTGAGTGACTCAGTACTGAGCCTTGCAGATAGCATTAACTGCATTGCTAACTATTACTAACATTAAATAATAACTATCGTATAACTAACTAATATAAATAATCAAAACTAAACTGCTTTTAGAGGCTTACGTATTAACACGTTTAGTAACGGTTCTAATGCCCTAAGCTAGCTACGCTCTTCGGAGGATTTCTGCAACCGTCTCTTTGTTTACCATGCCTTTGGGAGATTTAAGGGTTATGTGAGACTGTGTAACTCGCAGATTTGTGGTGCTCCTATCTGACAAGTGCCCTGGGCGGTCGCACAGGTGCACTCCGCGCTAACGCCGACTCTGACCACGTGCAATATCGCTGACTAGTGTTACTAGTGTTAAAGTTTGTACTTATGCTCACTTAGCCATGATTTTTTTTGACTATAACTATGATGTTCCGGCGACTTCGATCACGTCGAGTTTGGTTTGATTAGCATATTACGCAGATAAGTAAGAAATAAGCAAAAAAATGTTTACTTACTTTGTATTGTACGTAATTTATACAATAGACCAACCATTTACAAACTTTGTACACGCTGTATTTACAAGAATTAAAATCACTTGAGCATTTGCGTGGATAATTAACAATAGATATATTGGTAACACAATCATAAGTTTTTTACAACACGACTACTAATAATATTAGTAAGTTTAATAAGTAATAATAAATAATCGTGACGTCCGTAATAGTATCGTATTTATTATTCATCTATTGTGAGTATAATTCGCGTCATTAGTAGGCCCGCGGGGCACTAAACATCCTCCCAATTCGGCAAACATCGCTCAAATATGTAGATTACATTTGCCAAACATTTGACAATGGCACATTGAAGGTTGTGCCTCCGGGCGCCTATTGTCCAATATTTGCACAATTATTTTTAACCTAAGTACATGTGTCTGTTTGTCATGTTTATAGAAATAAACCGCTATATACAGAAATACTTATTTAATGTCGCTTTGTAGTAATATATAATATTTTGACCAATAATCAATGTTTTCGACTACGGATCTTACAGCAGAATGCCCCTTATTAAAATAAGTTAAAAGAAATAAAAAATAAAAATTAAAAAAATTGAAACGCGATTGTTATAATCATTTACAATTCTTATCGTGCTAGAAACAAATAGTAAAATTACGATTAGCTTGCATTGTAAGTACTAAATAACCGTTGGTTTACATTGTCGTAGTACAGAAACAAAGATAAAAATTTGTATATAAATTGTTATCTCCCTTTACTTTACAAAGAGAAAAAGATACGACAATATGTTTTATACTTTTTACAGTGGATTCCTAGGTTTGAAATTCTTTAAGTGATTAGGATTTAAATTAATCATTACCGGAAGTAACAACGATGTTAACGTAATGATAAGCGAATTCTTTAATCGTAAATATTTTATGATTGTTGCTATCAATTCTGCAAACATTATCATTTCATTAGTGTCGGCGTCGCGACAAAATTAGTAATCGCCTTACTCATTTGCGGTCAAAACTGAATGCATGAATCAGTCTGACACATGGTCATAGAATGTGTAGTCAACATACAGTATGTCACTATATTTTTGGAATATTGTTATTAGCAAAAAGAAAAAATACAAATATAAATTCTTAGAGGAAGAGTTACCGTTGGTTTCTGACATCAAAATATTAGTAAAACATATCTTTATCCCTGTTATTATCTTTTGACAAAACAGAGATAATATATTTTGAACGGGGATTTTGGTTTCAGAATACCCCGGTTAGTCGACTTAAGCTGACTTAAATATTATATTCGACATCAGAAATCTTATTACGATAGTATACTAAAGGTACATCTATGATAGTTTGCTTATGAACCTTATGAATAAATGATATAAGTTCATACGTAACATGCGTCATCAAGTCTAAAACTCATTATGTAAGAGATACGCGGCCCACCTTGAACCTGCTCCCATTTACCTAACCTTACATTGTTTACTTGGTTTAGTAACTTGTAGCTTAGTTTTCTAGTTACTAAGAAGGCTCCAAAGACTATAAAATAATTAAAAAAAGCAGTACCAAGGTCAATTTTCGTCAAAAATCGTGTAAATTCAGTTGAAATGACGTCATAATGATGTCAAAAAAGAGGCCTATATTGTGAGGAGAAGTGAAACTAACGCTACATATCACGATCTGAAAACGTGGTAATTGATCATGTTTGCATAAGCATGGAGAACAATTTGTTATACATATTACTAATGCATGGACCGATGTTGTGTTGGTGTGTTTAAAAAGTAAATTATTAGGTAGTGCTGTGTTTTTATGGCTAGAAATCTGGAAGAATTGATTATATTGAAAAGAACTGCGCTTAGATATGTTCTAGCGAGAGAATCTCGTCTGTTAACTTTAGGGAAGAAGCCGGCAAATAAGAAGATATCAAATTTCGTGCAGAATCATGAAAGCAATTTGTGGACAGATTTTTTGGATACTTTCAATGAAGATCTTACAAGAAATTTGAATGTATACGAATTAAAATTCAAAGATGGCGCCAATCGATGCTGTCCGCATACTCGTAGAAAGTGTCTAGAATCTAGCTGCGTCGATGTTTTTAGTTATAGCAATATACGGTTTAGGTAAGATTATGATGTTCATTTGTTTCGATGAAAATAAAACAATTCTTACTTATGTAAGTTTGTTCATATCGTATTAATATCTAACATTAATAAAGGACTAGCTGTCACCTGGGACTCCGTCCGCGCAGAATTTAAAAAAAAAAAACTTAATTAGTAGCCTATGTGCTCTATGCCAAAATTTAGCGAGATCCATGTAGCCCTTCTACCTCGTAATAAACATCCATCTAAACATTCACATTTATTATATTAGTAAGATTTAAGTAACGCAACTATGTCACCGTTTTAATACATTTTAGAGTTAATAAAAAGGAAAATACATTTTACGTAAATTCTCCGACTATAACACTAAAATAGTTTAAAGCAACTAGTAGTATTAAATGCTTTGGGTTAGAAGAGGGAGTCCTGGGACCGGCGAGTGGACAAAACAACTTATTTGGTATTCAGTTCCCTACATCAGATCAAGTTCAGTACAAGTACGCGACTAGTAGTAAACACGCTTACAAAATAATCTCTGTTTTCATAGACAATGAGAGGGATGATAAGATTGTTTGTACATGTACATCGCTCCGTGGCAACTGACGATTAGTTTGCCAAGAACTGTACCACACAATGCGGTATTTAACACTGCTTACATCATATTTATAAAATGTTGCGGTTTTGTGGACATATACAATTGATGGGAATGTGTACCTACAAATTATATTTAGTAGGTTAATATTTCAAACAAAACAGTTGACGAGAAACTATGTGATATTGAAGTAATTAAAATAAGCATTATTTTGAAATATATATTAAGGGATTCAAATGCCTGTATATAATGTCTGTATACAGTTTTGTATAATTATATAATAGACCTTTTTTAGATTAAAAAATGAACAAATGTTCGAAGCTATCAGGGTGAACACGAAACATACTAGTCGTCGCCCCCGAATCCGTCTGCAATCAGTAAAAAAAAATTATTACTGGCCTATGTGTTCTTCCAGGCTATGTTGTACATCTATGCTAAATTTCAGTCATATCCATGCAGCCGATATGGAGATGCTTTCTAACAAACATTCACACATCCAAACATTCGCATTTATAATATTAGTGAGATATTCATAAGTATTTATAGAAACACCAACAGTGCGATTTTTTTATTACAATAATCGACATCTTCACATGTGAAAATGATAACGTAAGAAATGGATTGAAAAAATATTTTCAACAGATAAGTCATTGTGAAGTACAAATGATACGTTATCTTGATACAACTGAACACTGAAACGGTTATTCTGTCCGTCTGTCGCAATCACTTTTAAAATCAATTTGCAGAATATTTTTTTTTTAATTAATATTGGGTACAGGATACTTAAATATGCAACATGAAAAATATAATAAATATAAATAAACATAATTCTTTAAAATAAATAATTATTTTTAAAAAGATTATTCAATTAATTAAAATTATTTATACAAATAAAAAACAAACGCACAAATATCTTATAAAGTAGAATTTACTTGCATTTTATATTACATAATTTCATTTCAATAATAATGTTTTTTTTTTAAATATTAATTTTATATTTAACATTAAAAAAAGTGTTGTTATATTGTTGCGAAACATCTTGTATCGTGTAATCTTATCGTGGTGTTATGTGCGTGGCACTCGAGGCCTGTAGTTTGTCTCTGAGTGTGTCGTTTCCCAGACGTGCAGCGGTGGGACACTGGGATTGGGCAAGTGAATCGGTGAGTCACTGCTACATGTCCCATTTTTTTAACATCCCAAGTTCAATGATTTCAAACAGTTATACTCAAAAGTATATATTACTTAAACCTTACTTAAATTGGGCATTAAATGCAGAAAGTTAATTAGTTGTAAATCAATTAAAATAATTAAAAAGGCATTTATTTAGGCTGTTATATTTAAAGGCTCGTTACTTTTGATTTGATTTAAAATAAATCGTAACAATCACCGTAATTTTTAATTCAATAATCCAATGTTAACATTGCTCGATTTTAGATAAGAAGATTTGCATTAATCCTTTTACATGACCTAATACAAAACTATAATTTAGTGCACAAATAAGTTCAATTTAATGTTTCCTTGGACGTTAAAACTATATTTCAAAGTAAACCGGGCAATTTGGCACAAAACATGTTTACGTGTTTCCTCTTCCCGGCTACCGTATATCAAATAAGAGGAGAAATATAAAAATGTAAGGAAAATTCATAAGTTGACCTAAAAACGACTACTTACATAACATTTTGGCATGAAATACGAATTTTATTACCCAAGAGAATTTGCTCTCAAGTTTCCTGTTATTTAAACTTATTCGGGACTTAAAAATTTGATAAGTTTAAAGATGCATGTAAGGAAATATTTTTTGATAAGCGTAAAGATATAAAAACGTATCATGTGATAAAATGATAAAGTTACTACATTTGCTAGGCCTAGCTATTGAAGAGATTATCCACAATTCATACAATTATAAGTTTTTTTTAATGTAATATCAAATATGTAGACTTTTTTCACCTCAAATTTTGACCGTGGTTAAAATTTATATTGAAAACTTGACAAAGTTTAGCATATAGCGTATATAACGGCAAATAGTAAAAAACCTAATCTGCCGACAACAGTGTATACTAAAACTTCACGAACTGTGAGTTTCTAAAAACAAAATCTCTGGAAAAAAAAATATAGTCATCTTTGACAAAACATAGACAACAATGTTTACCAAAATCCCTATTGGATTTTGGTTTCAGAATCCCAAGGTAAGGATCTCTCGTAGCGATTAATCGATCCCTGCGTGTAGCAGATAATTGTAAGCTATCGATGCTTAGAACTGCAGCAAATATGAGTACATCTCGTTGCAGTATTGTGTTGTATTGTACCTGGAATCAATACGCGACGTTACGCAAGCCGCTTATCGTAATTTCACGCCATATTTATTAATATGCACACACCATTGAGTTGCACTGTTACAATCTTTACAAAAGCATTCAAAATTATATTTTAACAAGTAATGAAAATATAATTATTGTTATAAAATGCTAGTATTAAACGTATGGCTCGGTGAAGCAACAATGTTTTAGTTCATCAAAACTTGAGTATGTTGCGTGACTTCTACATAGTATAAATGTTGTTAGGAATACAAGCATTGCTTCTGCACCGATGAAAAACTTGCTGGAGACTTAAACTATTGTTATCTAAATCTGTTATCGTCTCTTATCACATCGTGACGAATCTACAATTTATCTTTCTGTTTAAAATAACTTTGAATAGCTTGTTCTTTTATGTATGCTTTCCATATTATATTCTTAAGATGATATTTTATGTTTAATCTTACTAATGAAATCCTCAGATTTTTGAATGCTTGTTGTATAAACTAATTATTTATGTTTATTGTGTTCCAGTGGCGGCAGAATGAGCGAGGCACCTATAGTGAGGGTGGCGCAGGGTGCGCTGCAGGGCCGTATTGCCAACGCGCCCTCCGGCAAGGCCTACTACAGTTTCCAGGGCATCCCCTACGCGAAACCACCCCTAGGCTCGCTCAGGTTTAAAGTAAGGCTATCTAAACATTATCATGCCTATTAATATTATTTGTTAATCCTGTAAATATTGAAATGTTATTAATTATATGTCTTGCAAGATAGAAAAGGATAACATAGTAAAAATGTGTGATATGATGCTGCGAGTTGTGGTAACTTTATCATCGGCACTGCGGTATCGAAATGTTTGCGGAGACTCGCCGCTATCGCACTGTACACAAACTTACCAGGATATTGCGGCTACAATTGTCAGCGATAGCAAATACTGATGTACATTTCTTTTTGGATTTTCCAAACTCATCAGATTTACGTAATGTCTGCAATCTCAAGTGGTCATAAATCTTGCAATAAGAACAATTATTTTCAAGTAATAGTATTCAGAAAGATCGCCAGTACGAGTAACGTAAATTTTAAGTTATTGTCGTCACAAACAAGTGCCAATGTCACATGATATAAGTTTGTATACGTACGTTGCAGGCTCCGCAGCCCCCGGAGCCCTGGGAGGATGTGCGCGACGCCACCGTGGAGGGGAACGTCAGCGCGCAGGTGGATCAAATGGCGGGCCGGCAGTACGTCGGCGACGAGAACTGCCTCTTCCTGAATGTGTACACGCCGCGCCTCGAGGGACCTCCCCTGCCCGTCATGGTGTTCATACACGGCGGCGGCTTCTCCTTCGGCTCCGGAAACACCTCCCTGTACGGCCCCGACTACCTCGTGGAGAAGGACGTCGTCGTCGTCACCGTCAACTACAGGCTGGGACCGCTCGGCTTCCTCTGCCTGCACACGCCGGAGGTGCCCGGCAACGCCGGCCTCAAGGACATGGCGCAGGCGCTGCGCTGGATCCGGGATAACGTGCAAGGCTTCGGCGGCGACCCCGCCAACCTGACCGTGTTCGGCGAGAGCGCGGGCGGCGTCGCTACTTCGCTGCTCACCGCCAGCCCCCTCACCAGGAACCTGGTCAGCAAGGCCGTCATCCAGTCGGGCACGGCGCTCCACAGCTGGGCCTTCCAGAGCGACCCGCTGTACAACGCGCGGCAACTAGCGCGCTCGCTCGGCTGCGACGCGGAGGACATCGACGGCATCCTCGAGTTCCTCTCCACGACGCCCGTGAAGGACATCGTGGAGGCAGCCTCGCAGACCACCGAGGAGGACTTCATCCAAAAGGGTGCGATCACATTCGCGCCGGTGGTGGAGCGCGAGTTCCCGGGCGTGGAGGCGGCGCTCTCGGAGTCCTTTATCGACCTGCTGACGTCGGGTCGCGTGGCGCAGGTGCCCGTCATGATCGGCAGCACCGCCCTCGAGTTCACCGAACAGCGGCGCGCGGAGGACCTGCAGGCGTTCCTGCCGACCGCGCTGGGGCTGACGCGCGGCGGGCCCGAGGCGCTCGCGGCTGAACAGCGCCTTCACCAGCTCTACCTTAGCGGGGAGGAGCGCCTCGGCCGCGCCCAGCTGCTCTCCGACCTCCTCATCAACGTGGACACGCACAGATACGTGCAGTACCTAGTCAAGGCCACCAACAGACCTATATACTACTACAGATTCGAATACGTCGGCGAACTCAATATTTCCAAGAAATTGTTCCCGAAGCTGGAGGAAGAGCTGAAGGGCGCGCTGCACGCGGACGAGCTCGGCTACCTGTTCAATATGGAGCTGCTGCGGGACGTGGAGCCCACGCCGCAGGATGTCAAGATGCGAGAGAGGATGGTCAGGCTCTGGACGAACTTCGCAAAAGTCGGGTGAGTTTCACGAATTGTAATGTTTGAAATGTTTGCCTGATGTTAATGCTTGTCGCGATCCTACGACAGGTACACCTCTAGTGTCGTCACTCTGTCTAATAATTTAAAAAAAAACATCACATATTGTTTTACCATATCACGTCAATGCAAAATCTCTTAAAGGATGTACCTTTCTCTGCAAAATATCAACATTTAATTAACTTGCATCATCATATTGTTTGCAGCAACCCCACTCCGGACGAGAGCCACTACCTGACGGTGCGGTGGCAGCCGGTGTCGGAAGGTACGGGCGAGGAGCTGCCCTGCATGCGGCTGGCCTCCGAGCTGGCGCTTCTCCCCGAACCCGACGGCGACAGGATGGCCTTCTGGGACGACCTCTACAGCAAGCACTTCAAGATCTGGAACCTGTCCGACCAGACGACCACCACCCTGCCCTCCACCATAGAGATCGTCAGCTACGTTCAGCACCAGCACTCCGGCTCTCTCGTCGTAGAAGAGACCATCGAAACTCTCGTGCAGACCATGCACGAGACGCAGCAACAAGTACAGACCGACCCCGAGCCAGAAGTCGTCCCCGAACCTTCCGTACCGGAGCTTCCTTCTGAGCCCGCATCCCAACCCGAGCCTGAACCTGTCGCGGCGCCGACCGTCGTGGACGCGCCACACGCACCTGAGCCCGCACCGCTCAACGGTGTAAAGGAGAGCCAAGTGAACGGCACCCACGACAGGAAGCCCAGGACCTCCAACGAAATCAAAATGGTGCAGAACAGCAACGGCCACCCCAAGGACGTCATCCGCGCCAACGACCCCCCGGAGGACGACCTGCCCAAGAACATAGGCGTCAACAAATTCGTCAACTTCTTCGAGTCGCTCGGCGGCAAGAAGTGAACGCGAGACGTACAATTTAGTCTTAACAGTATTTATATAAAACATTCCTTTTAAATATTAAGTGGTATTGTTGTACATTTCGGCAAAAAAAAAGGTTTTCGTTGTAAATGAACGGTTCTAGTTGCCAACATAACAAACCTGAGATAAAAATTTGTAAAAAATTTAATCAGACTTCGTGACTAAATTATTTAATTAAATTGTAAAAACTATAAAAAAGATATAGTGATGTTTAGTGCCTTATTATTTTATTGCAATTATTATTATTTTATGCTATATTATGAATAGACATTTGATTATTTTACTGATGACGGAAAAATGTTTAGCTATCAAATATTTAAATACATAGATATTTCTTATATAAAATAATAAAACAGTTTGTTTTTTGCTTTATGTATGTATTTAAATGTTTGAGAGCGTGTTGTATAGAGTGCGGCGCGTGTACACAGTCACTGGCAGCAGCCGCGCGGACACAACCTGCCTAGTTGTTATTACTGCTAACTTGTAACTGCTTAGTCAATGATGAGAATATGTGTATTTTTATATAATTATAATGAACCACAAATAAATCATGTAAAATATTTGACATCTCTTTTATTTTTCATGACCTAAGATGTGTTATCATTGGTTCGAGTATATTTTGATTATGCTTAGTTTAACCTGGTATCTTTATATTCAACAAGTGGTTGTCAGCGGCATAAGTTACCTTCCAGTAAAATCAGTCTCGCTGTTTCTGAGATTACAAAGAACGAACGCGGACAGACAAGGCAAACATTTTTATTATTGAATTTTCGTTAAAAGAACGCAACAGTTTCCGATTCAATTAATTGTATAGATACTATGAATGAATGGGGGATGTGATAAAAGGTATTTTTCAAATCTTTACTACGTTAAAATCAGTCTTCGATCTTTCTCCTTAATGACGTTTTCAAAAGATAAATATGAAAGTAAATACTTACATGAAAACAGGTGATGATGAAACATAAACAACTTTTTACCTTCCTCTTGATCGTTCTAGTTAACTGCTTTTTCATATTTTATTTCTTGTTGCTGAAAAAAAAACCTTCACGACCGAGGCCGCGTCTGACGTTGTGACGTTCTACTCATATAGAAACTTAGAAATATTTTTTTTTTATTTTGGCGGTTGCAATCTTTTTTTTTAACAGCCATTTTTTTACAAAAAACAAACTCAAATCACAAGCCACTTTTTTCTTGTGTTACAATATCTATTTCTTTCATTTAAAAACCAGCAACCGCCATTAAAAATATGCACTGACTCCTTCAAAAAATATCTTTTACAGCCGCATTTCGCTTCTATTTTTTTAAGCGGCCTAACGTTCTCTTTTTTTTAAACCTTTTTATACAAGATTTACATCAATGTCAGTAACACATCACTAAACATAATGTACAAACTTCTTAACTAATAAAAAAAAATCAAAGTATATACATAACGGGTCGTATAACTACATCAAAACGAGCTGGACATTAGTTACATTTGAAGAAACAAACATATTCAAATTGAAAGCGATAAAGCAAAAAGCTTTGCCGGTTTTAATGCAGTCAAAATGACAAATCGACCCAAACTTAATATTTAAAAATAATAACAAGGAATACATAAAATATCTTCGACACACACACAAATAAAATGTAAAATATAGAATTTAGCTTGTACTGATATAAGACCTGTTCACACGTGCGTTTGTTAACCAGCGCTAATGTGAGTAAGCCTTATATGTCCTAAATTATCAAATTACATGTATGAACAATTACAATTTTTAACATATGGGAAAAATAAATAAGTTCTCACAATGTTACAGTAAAACTAGCGAAAATTATATCTTCACAGATTATGCAAACGATTGAGATGGCATATATTTTTTGAATACTTTCAAATTTTGATTTTGACCGTTAGTTTTTCTTGTAGATTTAAAAACACTATTCGTGTTAAGAAAACTTATTTATATTTCCCCTACAATCTCACTATTTACATACATAAAAAGTAAAGTATATATGATTATAAAAATCGAATCAAAACTTTTTATATCTAAGAATTTGCATTATTTATTGCCAAAAATGTATTTATAATTTTGTACAAGACGTATATTAATTAATTTATGTTCACACATCACTCCATTACAAGCCTTACAAAGTATTCAACAAATTTTTATACTGTTTCCATTATTTTATTTTCAACATTCGACTTCAAGTTTAAAAATAGTTTTTTTGTCCTATATACACTAACTTATGTATTTGTAACTTTAACAATTTGGACATAATCACTTGACTTATTTATGCTGTAAATACTATTTTGATTTTTTCGCGTAAAAACAAACATCAATTTGATTTTGAAAACTATTGGAATAATAAAAAAACCGTAATTAAGAAAATAACACATTGGAAAGAGTATAAATTGACGAAAAATTTAATTTAATTTGAAAAATGAAGTATTTCTTAGAAAATAATAAAAAAAAACTATTATATTAAATTTAAATTTCGCATCATAACGCTTTCAGTATCGATGTACGCAGAGAAATAAAAAACTAAATAAACGTTTCTTAAGATGTTATTCAAAAATATTTATCGCCTATTTCTCTCTTTACGTATATTAACATGACCTGGATTCGAACCTACTGACCATCTAAGAGATATGAAATTGCCAACCACTGAGCTAATGTATCCAAGTTCTTTCTAAAACTTAAAGGTTAAGTTATCGATTTTCCAAGTGGTGTCAGTCACAACGTATATCAAATAAGGAACGCGTCAACAACTCCTACATACATTTTGTACTTATATAATCTTAAGGCTTAAATACATCAGAGTCTTAAACCAGTTGGACAGAAATCTCACTCGTTATATACCGCCATTATTCTATATAAAAGATTTGAAGATATTTATAAGCAATATGGTTAGTACTTGATACACTTATTTGGGTTACCGTGGCTTTCTGAAACCAAAATATCCGTTTAAAACATATTGTTATCTCTTTTTTGTCAAAGATAATGACAGGGATAACTGTATCTTTTATATAAAGATTTTGGTTTTAGAAACCCAAGGTAAATCGTAAAATGATTTGGCGATATTTGTAAATTAAATCACATAAATGTATAAAGCTATATGTTAATGTTTAGTTATTTAACTATTCCTAATAAAGTAAAGTTTAAGATATTATTTGATGCATTCAAATTTACCTTGTTTATTGACCAACTTATAGATTTAAGTCTAACATAGCAAGTTATACTAGATTCCGTTAAATACCTAGATTTATAGTTTATTTATACTTCAGACCTAAACTTTATCTAGAATATTACAGACTGAATAGAAGGTAGTCATTTACTGTGCAAATTAACGGAATTAAAATTGTTTAACTTGGATAGTTAAAGAGAAAAAGTTGGATGTAATTTTGGTCTTACAAAAAGCGTACGTGTAAAAATATTTTTTATATTGGAAAGACATACGGAATCATGTCAACTTTAGCTTAGGTTTTTAGTTGAAATAAACTATATATTTATATGTTTGTTGGTTTCAACTATCACTCGTAGATATGGGTGTGATGTGAAGGCACTTCTTCATTAGGTTTAGCTATCAGAGTTGAAGTTTAAGATTTGATTTTGAAATTTTAGAAGAAAGTTTTAGGAATTCGAAAGAAGACAGAAAAGGGATAGATTTTCAAGTAGATATTAAACGAGCAAGGTAAAGATGTATAGATAAAGGGCAGAAAAAAGTTTTTAGCAAATATTTATGTATGAATTGTTTGTTTTAAACTTTGCCTTTTTGATATTACCGTATGATTAAAACCTAACCTAATAAGAAAATAATACGAATGAAATAAATAAATAATATGTTAAATTTTAGTTATAAATTTCACTTACAATTTGTGATGTTATTGGAGAAGTACCAAAAGTATAATATCAGAGGGAAATGAGAAACTTTTGCAATGAGTTTTCATTGCTAAAGAAACTTGCCAAAAAAACATCTTGTCATATTCACTAATTCTGCTGAAAAATGAGACAATAATGTTTCTTTACTAGTATATGCAATGAAAACTCATTTAAATACTAAGATGTTACCGTTTTGTTGGATTTACGATGTTTACGCATATATTTGGGGATAATTAAGGACCGATCAAAGTAGGGGAACGCCTTTACTTATAGTTAAATCTTACCTACAAACACTAATTAACTTTAATTTGATTTAATTAAGAATTTTGTACATCTATCAGTCTATATCCAATTACAAGAAACCTTTGACGCGACGTTGCTCCATACAATAGTAAAAATTACAAATTGCAATACAAAGCGGACTAATTAACGATATAACGGTATTAGAGACACTGACGACAAATATAACTTACGACTATTCTTATATGAGCAGATAAATGCCAAAAAATTCTAAAAATTTCCCATCTTTCACAATAAAATAGCAAAATGTATATTTCACGCGTTATTTTTATGTTTTCAAACATATAGTTATTTAATTTTTCTAATCACTGCTTCAGAAATCACGAATTAAGGTCAAATTTAATATTTGTTACTTAAGGAGTTCCTTAGTGTAGATTTCTAGTTTAAGTGACAATTTAGCGACTGAGTTGGCAGTAAGCTATCAAATTTAAATATTAATATTTTAATATGACAATATAAATAAAAGTATATCGAAAATATTCACACAATTATCTAGGAAATAGTCAAAATGATCTATTCAACGTCAGTATATCTATGTCGCAGTAAAACTATTGAATATGTTTAAGGCAACATGTCTAATGCCGTTGTCGAACGCAATACCTTGTCTGTGACACGAAATTAACTAGCGATAACTTCCTAAGTTACTCTATACTTAACCGTCAGTAACTTATGCACCTAAGTTGCTAAGTACGTGTACAATACGTTACTTTGCTAACACATATTTATTGCTTCAAATGAGGTAATGTTCAACGAACAGCGTATCTAACCTTACATTCATTTATATTTACAATTTTATTAGCTCTTTACAGTTCAGAATCAATACATACATATACATATAGTAAACAATATTATTATTTTACTTTAAAGGCACTTTATAAAAAATCTAATTTTATAGTTTTTTCTTTTACAATTTACTATTTTCACTGCCAATAACTAGCAAAAAAGCATTAGTTTTCTGTTTTTTTAGTTTAGGACAATATTGTATTACCAGATAGTAAATGAAGTGGCTAATAAACATATATGTATTAATTCTGAACATATAAATAAAGCCTAAGCTACACAAGTCAACAACTACATGTATCAGACACGTATGATATAAGACAACATTGTAAAGGCTCCCAGCGCGACCTCCTCCCCCTACACCCCCTCCCCCCACACTGAGGACACGGTCCCCCCCCCACACAACGCTACTTGACTATAAGTCGTAACTTAACACATCTAAGTGATCAAAACCCAAAAAACCGTAAAACCTTTATATATTTTAAAATATGTAAAAATTGTAAAGACGATATATGAATGAATAAATTGAATAATTTCTTATTATAATAGATAAAAGTTACTTATATAGTTTAGTTATAGTTGTATAGATAATTGGTGTTATACGACAGCACTTTAGAATAAAAACTTATCATAGTTATTCTCGAGAGTTTGCATTGAGAAAACATTCACGTGAAACATGTTTTGTTATGTCAGTGCGAACTCACGCCGCAGCACTGTTCATTTATATAGATATGTTAAATAATAACAAGTTGTATTGCTATAGAACGCTACGCTGGTGTACGAGTACAAAGCTACGTGTATATACAAGTGTCACGCGTGACGCAGCGTGACGCGACGTGCCCGCGGCGTGACGCGACGTGCCCGCAGCGTGATGCAACGTGCCCGCAGCGTGAGGCGGCGCGAGGCGACGTGACGCGGGAGCCGCCGCTAGCGGCCGGCGCGACGTCAACGTCTCCAGGAGCGGTCCTCCTCTGCGTCCTCCTCCTCCTCCTCGTCGAAGCGCAGCAACGTCTCTTCGCTCTGCTTCTACAAGTCACAAAATATGCTCTTAGTAATGTTCATTAACATGTGTAGATTAACTATATCGTATTGTTGATGAAATAGCACATACCTCGTTCTCCTTGGGTTCATCTACTGTCGTGTCTCCATTCTGCACCTGCGGTGGCGGCTGACTCGCGCCTATCGGCTTGTTGTTCGTCACCCACGTTATCTGACAATGCAAACATATATTATTCATATTCACTCAGTGAGTTAATTTTTAACAATAAGTTAATACTAGAGAGATAGTTCAAATAATGTAAATCGAGAGTTAAGAGATATATATATAGGCATCTGGGCGGAGAGTACTCACAGAGAGGGTGCGGTCGTTGTAATGTCGCGCACGCTGCATGGCGAGCTCTGCCATGGCGCGGGCACGGTACTGCAGCACCAGCTCCGGCACCGCCAGGTTCACCTCCTTGCCCGTCACCTCGCCAAATTGCTGCAAACACATTTAATTTATTTTAGCTACATAATAATACAAGAAAAAATTGTATTGTTTACACAAAAACACGTGTTAATAACACTAATATTGGTAATTAATTCGTTAATTCAAGTAATAAATGTGATATGATTGTATGATATACCGCGAAGTGTGCCAGCAGTGTGTCGAGCTCTTCAGGCTCGAAGCCGGATACGAGTAGTGCGCGGGGGCGGTGGTCGATGCTCTGGTTGACGCTAAAGGCCTTGCCGGGGCCAGCACCGGTAGCGCCGGCCAGACCGCCGCGCACGAACCTGCTGCTGGTGAACCTACCTCCCCTACACACACACACACACACAACATACAATAATTATAATAGGGAAAATAATATTCAAATCATTCATTGTCTATACCAATTAACATTGACACCAGTAAAAACATCAAATATTTCCATCTTACCGTAGTTTTCTTTTCACGATACGATAGCTTGAAAAAAGTATTAAAATGTTAAACTTATTCACCCATAGACAACACTAATCATTATTTAATTACACACAAGTTTACATTAATAAATAAATTTTGAACTTACGACTACGTGTTACTATTAATACATACGTAATAAATAAAATAAAAATAAAACTAACCTGGAATGTCCTCTCCTGATGATGGGATGTGTGGGGAACTGCTGCGCCATCTGCCTCCGCAGCTCAGCTATCTTCTTCAGCAGCTCGGTCACGTCCTGACCCTCCTACACAACACAATAAACAATTTAGTATAAATTATTTTATTTTCCGTATTATAAGTGACTGTTATAACAACATTGCCATCAAAAGTACGTTTTTCCAAGTGTTTCCCTTTGGACCGATGGACCTAACAATCGGCAAAATGAGAAGTTTTTCCCATTGGACCGTTTAAATTGGACACAGACAATTTTCAACCGCCGAAACATATTCTAGTCTCAATTTTTCCCAAGCAAATAAGAAACACGATGACATGTTTTTGTAATTTACGACAGAGGATAACTATAGAAAGAGTGAAGAAGCAAAATATTTCTATTATAACACTAACCTGTTGTTTGGTGAACATATCTAGTTCAGCATCCAGGATCTCCTTCTGCGCCTCCTCCCGCGTCTTCGGTTTCTTAACCTGCTGACACACCACATTATGTACTACAGCGTATATACAAAGCTTATATACAACCTTGTTACATTCAGCGTTTCATATGAATTTTTCGTGGTTAAAAAATATGATAATTTATGATGAATGTTTTTAAGTAACTTAATATGTTTCAAATTAAAAAAACAACAGATATATGTTAGAATCGTGAACATTAATTTACATCACAGATGTTATAAGAAAATTTCACAAAACTTTAGTGTTCTTACCACCCGTGATTAAATTATTTTATTATTCATGTGTTAACTTTTAATATTGCAAATAATATTATTTACTGTAGTGTGCAGTATATTTTTGCATAAACCCACTAATATTAAGCTAATCTTCAATGTTTATTAAATGACATAGTACTATAACTCTCAGTGTCAAATATATTTCAAAATTTTATAGTCAATATGAAGTATTCTAAAACAAACTTTCAGGTTTTTTTTTTATATATTTCTACTAATACTATAAAACCTAACTATACTTATATTTACCTAAACTATACTACATAGTGATATATAAGTACAAATTAGTACATAATATAGTTATAGAATAGTTCAACTAATTACATATTCTATTCTATAGTTACTTAGTTACAAAGAGTATATTGTATGTAATACATATATACATAGTATGAGTGATGTTACATACAAGGTTATATGCTGAACACTGTACTGATAGTATATGTGCCTTTGTGCGCATGCGACGTGCTATCTTGTGATTACTAAGAGACATCTAGTCAGGGATACTTTGTCTAAATGTTTCGATGGATTGTTTTAAAAACTGGCTAAGATGTAATAATATTTTTTAATTAATTCTGTAGTTTTTAAAAATGTTTTCTTCTACCTATGTAAGAATATATAGTGATAGTAGTTATTTTATCATTAATTTTGTTAATTTACTTATTATAATATATTAAGTTTACTTTAAGAAAATAACTAAAAAAATGAGAAATGAACGTTTTACTAAGCTAGTTCATTAGTTGTGTGTGTATGTTTAATTTTAATTTTATTTATAAGCAGTTTTGAATGTTTGATCTGTTTATGTTTGATGGTTATAACTTTTTTGTCGCTTTATCTTAGTCTAACAAAAACACACAAAAACAAAATAAGACACAAACACAACAAAACTTTCAAAGAGATGTGTAAAGCATTCAAAAAGTAAAAAGCAACTATCACATAAAGAAAGATATCTTGAAATAGGAGCAGAAGGAAACAATAAAAGCAAAAACATGTATTCAAACACTTGGATACATTTTACATACATACATCATACAATGCATAAGTTTTCATACAAATTTGTATGAGTTTGTGTGTGGCATTTATATAGGGTATGGTTGTACTTTAATGACGAGTTACGCGTTTTTTGAAAATTAAGATACTTTTTTTTCTAACTTTTTTTCATTTGTGTAATTTTTTTTAATTCCAGAACAACTTCTATTAACAATACATGTTTTTGGATGAATGATTTTCGTGTTTTTTTTTTTAAATAAATTTTGTTACTCTTAATTTGACATAAGAAATGAATATATGAGAAAACGTTAGAATGTTTATGCTGCGACAGATCGACAAATGCTCAAAAATGACACATGGATAAACCCAATGACCAGAATGTCTCGTGAGTTAACAACCAGGGATAGCGAACCTTTTTATAAAATAAAAGTTTTTTATATAATTATTCAACATTACACGAAGGGAATGTCTCTTTTATTTTCGATTACAAATCCCAGTAGAGTTATGGCTAACAAGCACTCATCAACTCCTCGACCACCCGGCATAGCCCTGCCTCGCGATCAACAATTAGGCAGGATAAAAGAAAAACTATGTCGCACAACAATACCTCGTGTTTATACGGGGCGAGGTGTTATTGGCGATTGTTTTTTGTATTTAGTTAATAATTATTACGAGTTAGATTCGCCACCCCTGTCTGTGTGTACAATGCACAAGATGCACGGGGCATAGGGACGTGGGGGCTTGGGGCAGGAGGCATGGGGCGGGGGTCATGGGGCGGGGGCATGGGGGCACGCGCACGCGCACGCGGCGGTACCTGTGCGAGCTGCAGCCGCGACATCGACCGCGCGACGCTCTCTTCCTGCCGTCCACAACACCACGTTATATTCAACATTTCTTTATTTAACTATACTATCATCCTCACACTCTCCTACCAATAATAACTGCTGACTTAGTTTCCTGCTTTAAATTTTTTATACATTCGTATTACGATATAAATGTCAAATATTGTAATAAAAATAATATTAAGTTTTTAAAATAATGCAACGAATAAAATTAACGTTACTCAAATCATTGTAAACCAAAAAAATTAAACTTAGGTGATCAAATCATAGAAAAAATCAACAGAAATAAAAAAAAAATTCATATATTTTGTCTGAGCTGTTTTGTTTTATTTGTGATGTGAAATAGGTGATGCATGTAGTAGATATAATACCTGTAACTGCTTCATTGTGTAGTTGAGTTCATTACGCAACTTCTCTATCGCCTCCTGCGCTGAGTTGATGGCCTCCAGCAGCACCGGCTTCTGCACCGCGCTCACGTTGCCTACATATTGTACTGAATTTTATTAACAATTTATGCTATTTTTATTAGTTTTAAATTATAATAAACAATGTTTCAAGTCAAGATTTTTGTAATGTTGTCCGAAAATGTGTAAACACACAAGATCTTAGTATCTTTTTAAATAATTAACATCACAATAACAACATTTTCATAAGAAAACATGCCGATTTAAGTACTAGTTGGTGGCATAAATACGTTAGTCGACTATATTATGATCTGTTCTGACATAGTGATTTAGTGCCACCCTGTATATGATAACATAGTATTCTGACCGGTCTCCAAGCGCTGTATAAGCAGCCTCTGCTGCTGCAGCTGTGTCTGCAGCAGCGCCTGGCAACGTTTCTGGACGTCTAGCAGCTGCTTGTTCTTCTCAATCGGCTTCACTGCCTCCTTCTTAGGTTCCTGGCCGTTTGTTATCTCTTTAGCCTGGAATTATACAAGTTTTATGTTATAAAAAAAGGTTCGATCAAAAGATTTAGAAATAATTTAGTTCTATCTTACCTTTTCAGCTTGTATGGACTGTTTGTTGTCCGCTGTGGCCTTTATGTTGTCCCTGTTGATGAGCACCTTGTTGTGTGACATTGGATGGTGCGCGTTCTGTCTGTCCGCCTGCTTGTTAGCCTGCTGCCCGCCCGGCGCCATGTTCTCCTGTTTGTTCTGAATATAAACATTGTTTTAATACATCTGAAGTATATATACATTAAATCAATGTAATTATGAATTTACCTCTGGGTTGTGCCAGAAGACCTTGATGAATCTGTTGTTGAGCACCGCCTCCGTGCTCTTGTATGCCACGTTGGCCTCTGTCGGGTTGGAGAACGTTATCAGCGCCGCCTCGGGATCACCTTCGAAACTCACCTGGAAAACAATAATAATTCAATGTACAAAAATAATCTTATGGTGTACCTAATGTTTCCCTAAGGGTGCCGTTTAGTATAGATTATACAACTGAGCATGGCAATGATCACGACCAAGCTTTTGCAGTGTGTTTTCGCAACAAAAACAGACATAACCGTATCTTACTTGTATGTTAACAATCTTGCCGAACTTGCTGAAGTGGTTGTTGAGATGAGTGATATCGTTGAGTCCACGCGGCACTTTCTTCACCTCCAGCGAGCAGTTGCCAGCATTGGCCGGTAGGGGCGCTCGGTTGCCTGCGCGAATATTCATTAAAAAATATGTAAAAACGAATAGATGGATTATATAGTTTTAAGTTGTCAAATTTTGAGTGTTGGCCATATTATCTGAATCAAAAAGCAGAGAAAAAAATTAAAAGGTACCCAAGCGGTGGTAATCAAAGTTCTTCTTGGGCGGTGGTCGGTCGTGTCGTGGCGCAGAGGGCACCTCCGCCCTCGCGTCGTTGCGGGGCTCCGTCCTCGCCTCTGCACGATTCTCATGACGCACTCTGACAACATCAATGCAACATTGTAGATTAAAAAAAATTGCTAAGAAAATGTGGTGAAAGTAACTTAGAACTCTTTTTACACTTGTAAATTAAAAAGAGAGAGATGAATTTAATAGTGAAATTACCGATGATTAGCACTGTTGAAATTCTTATATACACATTATATTATCTCATGTTTTCAAAGATAATGAGACAAATGGCAATATGTTTTGTTACAGATGTTTCTTTGTGAGATGTATTTGATGTACCTGGGTATGGGCACGAGCTCCCTGGGCGGATGCGGTGCGTGCGGCGGGAGCTGGGCGTGCGGCGGGGGCGGCAGGGCGTGGTGCGGCAACGCGTGCGGGTGCGCACCGAACGCAGGGAACCCCGCCCCGCACCAGATGTCCGGCGTCAGCGGGTTGTACTCTAAAACACATATGCATTATTATAAAATTATCATTGTCAAATTTTGATGAGTTCGTTTCCAAATACTGCATTCTAAAAGAGATTAGCACTTACAGAAGTACAGATTTAAGATTTTTCGATCATTATAAAATTTACTTTTTCCCCTAATAAAAATAACCTATAAATAGATGAAGTATTCCTCGTACATTTGTACTTCATATTTACTTCGTGATATAATAGTATTATCTAGTTACCAGGCACGGGCGGCTGTATGGGCAACACTCTGGAGAGCGTGGCGTCCTCCAACACCAGCGGGTCAGTGCCGTGATCCCACTCACAAAAGTCACCGCGCATGCAGTAACCTTTTTCTGTAAACAATTATAACTTAGTACACTAATGACCTACAAGAACACACACAGGATCAAATAAAATACTGAACAGAGTTTTTTTCTGTATGTGTGTCAATGACAAATGCACAATAAACTGTAACTGACCGTCATAGTCCCTGCAGCGTCGCTTGTAGGCGTCAGGAACCTCTAACCGAGGTGAAGTGGAGCCGCGAGACCTGTCACGGGACCTATCGCGTGACCTGTACAACAAAACATTACTTAATTAACTTATGTATTAAGAAAATGTTATAATACTAATGTGCCAAAATATAAAAATACATGACAATTCTTGTACAAACGCTTCTTACCGATCTCTATCCCTAGATCTGGACACTCTATCCCTGTGCTCGCGGTCCCTCGACATTCTGTCTCTCTCCATCTCGCGGGGGATACGCAGCCTTTCTCTTTCCCGGTCGTAATCTCTGTCTCTCAGCGGTACTGGTGACCGCGATCTGTTGATACATTAAAATGTAATAAATATGAAATAATACCGATTTTCTCATCACATATTTTTTCTTTTTTTCTGTGTGACTTACCTAGACCTGCTAGCTTGTCTCTCAATGACAGCCGGAGGGGGACTCCTGTTCCTGTATCGGCCGCGCGGTGACGGCGACCGGGAGAGGGGACGTCTGCAAATATTTACATTATTACAAACTATGTGAACCAAAACATATCCTTCTTCTAGCTGGATCGACATTGAATGTTAATTTCGATAGGAGGAACATGTGAAATATATGTTTGATGATAATTATTTCAGACTATTACATACGACAAAACATGAAAAGCTTAAGATATAGATAGCATATTGATAAAGCATTCTTAAAAATGGCGAAAAGCAGATGTGAGAAGCTTATCTTAGTTTAAATATTAAATGTTAGAAGATTTGGTTTTTAGATGAAACTTAGAGCAATCGTAAATGAGTAAAATTTAAGCAACTTGATTAATAGAATTTTGTTAGCTAGGTTAACAGAGTGGTGATAGCATTGTTAGTAGTTGTTAGTGATGTTACCTCTTGTCGTACCTCCGTGCGTCATTGGCGTGTGCGGGGTGTGCGGGGTGCGCGGCGTGCGGCGCGTGTGCGGCGTGCTCGGGCTCGCGTGCGTGACGTCGCGGCCGCGCACGTCGCTCCCACGAGCGAGAACGTCGCCGGCGACGCTCCTCCTTGTCACGGAGCTGCAAATTACATATCAAGTCCCTTTAGTCAAAATACAATTTATTACAGTTAACTCTATATGCAGTAACCAAATGATGAATAATTATATCAAAGTGTTAATACAAAATTCGTTCTCATGACAACTAAATACGTGAGCGTCGTGTATAATAAAACTAAATTTACTTACAGAATCACTTCTGCGATCTCGTCTGCGCGGCGGTTGATCCAATGGTTCTTCAAGTAACTCCGTCAAAGGCATAACCTGGAATACAAAAGTATAGAAATTATGTGATTGTAAATATTGTAAATTATTTGAAATATTAATGTTGAACAATATAAAAGGCTAACAAATTTTTGTGGTTACCTTGACAAGTGTCTGCTCCTGATGAGGCGTGGTGCGTGTCCGCGGCAGGACGAGGCGATGACGTGGTGCCTCCGCGGCCAGCGCGGGCGCAGCAGCCACAGCGCTCGCGCCCGCTGGGGACTTGGCCCCCGGCGCGGAAGCACTGGTAGCACAAGCCGCTACAAAATATCACAGTTTGTTATAATAACTATCACACTGATAAGAATAATTGATAATTTTGCAACCTTAATACGACAAACATAAAAGATATCAGTTTAATACCGCAACTTTGTATAAGAAATTTAAATTTGCACAATTTCGTACCCATGTTAACTGGGTTTAAGGAAAAATTATTTTTAATCACTAAATCCTGCAGTTCTCAGTGGGAGAACTGACGCAATATAAAACGAAAATATCTTCGAATGTCTCCTGTGAATGTTAAAAATAACTTTTTGTAGCATTTATATAAATAAATTCAGATGCTTTGTACAAAGAAAGTATGTAATAAATATAACTTACGTTGCTCTTCAACATCTAACTGTTTATCATTTTCTTTAGGGATATGTGCAGGACTGGGGGGCTTCTCAGGTTCACCTTTCAAGTACTCCAAGCTCTCCAGAGACTTGAATAACATGTCTACAAACGGCTTCGTCTCTGTTGATACAATACATACAAATTATTATATTATATTGCAATTTGCAAAGCAACGAAAGGTAATTAATTCAAAAAACTAGTCAGTGCCACCACCGGGTGAATATACGTGAGTGTTTTGCCGTTTTTATATAAGTTTATGAAAGGCTATAATTTGTTCAACAACTCACAAAATTTATTATTTAAATAGTCTTTGTGAAAACAGATATTATTGCAATAATTTTAGTTATATATTTAATCTTATAAGACTTAACAAGTAAAAAGTACAAGTCACACTTGTAAATTACCATTTTTAACGTCATTTTTTCCCATTTATGGCTTTGTTATCTTTGTTGCAATTGTAGTTTTTATATGCATATCAGTCTCTAGTCACGCAAATTATACGTTAATTGAAAAGAACCGTATACTTTTATATTACAATGTATTTTTTCCATACTCTACTAAGTATACTGACGCTATGCAGAAAAAAAAATTGTACTTTTTGTCTGCTTTAAAAAAAGAGATATTATTCCATGTTGTAACTTACCCTGTTGCAAGAAAACATCTAGTTGGTCCAGCATGCCATCTCGAAGCTCATCCAATGGCTTATCCTTCTTCACCAATGCATACACATACTTTGCCAATGCTGCGGGATCCGCATCGCAACTGGAAAATGGTTAAATTCAGTGAGAAGTTGTAATTATCATTAAAACTAAATTTTATAATAACTCAAAACTTCCATTTCATCACCTCTTGTGGACCATTATTTGAATATTTGATAATAAGAATTAAGATATTTTGTTAAGTTAGTCAACTTTGGTTGTCACCACCAAGCAGTGTCCACTGAGCTACTAAAGCCTACCCAGTGTTAGAGAGCACTAGACTTATGTAAACAACACTGGTTTTGTACTGTAATATCTAGACCTTACATCTAACTAATATTATAAACGCAACAAGTGAGATGGATGTTTCTTAGAAAGTATTTCAGGAGCAGCTGGATAGATCTCGCTGAAATTAGGCATAGATGTCAAACATAGTCTGGAAGAAAACATAGGCTACTAATCTTTTTTTTAAATTCCGCATGGACAGAGTCGCAGGCAACAGCTAGTAACTGATACAAAGAACCAACTCTATTATACATTAAGTTTAATATTTAATATAAAACACAAAAGATTACTGCAGTAAGAAAACAAGTTTATTAGCAGTATGTATAATAGTTACATAAAATGATAACCATATCAGCATTGCATACGTCATACTGGCCACTATATGTTTTAGTTATCTTTGTGTGACAGTAATATATGAAGTAATTAGTACAGACAACATAATAGGGGCATAATTATCAACTAAACTAGTTGTTATCCGCGACTTCATCTATGGGGGAAAAAAATAAAACTTGCTATGATCTACAAATATGCCAAATTTCAGCAAGATCCATGAAGCCTTTCTAGAGATTTCTTCTAGCAAACATCTCGTTATCCATCTAACATTATAAAGATTAGTGCTATATTAACAAAGGAGATTTAGTCGAACTTATCAGATGGGAAATTACAAACATATGACATTGTATGAAATTATTCAAATCTAACTAAAGATGGAGCTCGCAATTTCCTTGTAATATCAAATAAATTTGAACAGTTTAAACTGGCCCATAACACCCATGAATTAGATAAGAATATCAAGTAGTTATAAGTATTTGATCATGTCTTTACCAGTATTCTTATGTATGTTATATGAGTTTTGAGAAACAAAACATTTAGTTTACAGTTGTACACACATATCACTTTTCCTTTGCAATCTAGGGATTCGTTTTTCTGCACATTTGTTGACAGAAAATCCATATCAAAAATATATTTGAAATATTCAGTTATTGCGCCTGATCTTCATAATGCAATTATTCAATAAAAGTTTTCACAGTCAAAACGAATATTTCAATGTGAGTCATGAATCGATTTAAAATTTAGAATAGATTAACCGTGGAGGTCTATTATAAATAGATGTTTACAAAAATCACATCGCTACCTGTGAGTCTAGTTACTATTTTAAGAAACAAATGAGTATATGCAGTATATAATGGGAATTTTGAATAACAGTGGGTTTAAATATGTAGTTTCAGTGTTTAAATTAATGATGCTAACATGTATGTACTAATAGCCATTATTAAAGTGTTATAAAGATTTAATTTTTCAGATGTTTGTTAGTTGTTATATTTGGAATGGAACATGAGCATAGATTTAAACTGCTATAATATTACCAATTTTTAATATCAAGTGTGTTCATCTTATTACTTTAAAATTACCTGATTGAAACCACTACTACTAATTGTGTTATAAAAAAATCATCCAGTTAAGAGAATTGTTTACACTAAACACTACTTTAAGTTAATCTTGTAGGTCATCTTTTCTTATAACAACCTATCTTACAGCACAAACTTTTAACACTACTTTACCCATCAAAATAATGAAATGTAACCTATTAGGGATACATAAGCATGCTTTAATTTAAGTTTATGATGGTGATTAGTTAAATTGGCTACAATAATTACTACTCATTCATTGCTTTATAAATAATAGATTTATCGTTATCTGTTTAGGTATTTTGGTAAAATAATATAAAGTGTAATAGTAAATTTATCCAATACTTTTAACTTGTTTTAGTACTCCAAAGTCATATTTTTAGAATATACGCAATTTTACTTTCACATTTCTTTTAAATTTAACTTTCCTGTAAATTCGTATACAAATTGACAACTGTGTCATTGCACCACGCTAGTGGAGCCAATTGCGATAAAACTTATTACGAAACCGTAACTTGACACCTAATCACTTTTCAATATAACTTTAATTATTTCAGGTTTAAACATGGTCAGATATCTAACAAAATACAAATTTAATTCAAAACATAACTTTTTATTCATTTAGATGAGTGTTTTTGAAAAAGATGGCTTCGAAACTACTTACAGGGGTTCCAATATGGACGTCAACCATGATTTGAAAGCGTCTGGATTTTCAATAATCATTTCGCGTACAATGTATTTTCGCTATAAACGACAATCCATACAATACAAACTTTCTTAAACTCGCAAAATAAAACAGTTTTTACAATCACAAAACCCTGATAAATTCGACAATATCGAAACACTTCACGTCTCTTTTCGCTCTTTTCTAGACTAATTTTTTATGGTATTGCTATTTTTGATTGCTATGCGAACCAAAGAGTAAGAGTACAGAGTATACAAACGACAAACGAGAAGTTTTCTACAAAAAATATTCTATGTCTATGAATAATGTTGCCTCAACCAATATTGAAATTTCCAATTAAATTGGGTACTTTTATAGTAATATTCGATATTCGGTATTATTCGAACAATAGCAGTTACGTATTTATGTGAAATATTTTTTGTTACTTAAATGTATTTTTTATTTGTGATCATGTTATCGTCGGAGGAAGGTGATGCTTTTATGGGAAGTGGCAAGATGCATCCAGATAATGAATTAACTTGAATATATTAGTTTTAAAATTCCTAAAACAATATTTTTTTATCGCTATTATATTATTCAGTTACCCCTAATTTAGGGTAGGCTCCGAACTCCTAAGTGGGCACGTATAGTGAGCTGATAATGATGATGATGATTATTAAATATGATAATTTAAGCGTAGTGTGTTTGGTTATTTTACATAATTGCGTCGTTATTATTTAATTAATTAATAATTTCATGGTAAACAATTATAAAGTCATGAAAGCATAATTTGTGAAATAACACAGCATACTGAAGGAGTTGGTTAAGTATCAATAATTGAAAAAATGCTACTTATTTCACTTTTCAGTAATTTTTCGATGAAATGTACAAGTATTTCATCAACAAATTTTAATTTCTCCCATCTTATTCCCCAACTAGATCTCCAAAGGACCCTGGTTGTCCATCTGGATACTTTAGGAATCACTGAGAAAAAACTTCATGGATCATAAGATAGACGTGTTATTATTCGTTTCATATATCTTCCCAAAGGCAAAAGTGTGTTGAACAGAGCCTTCTCCCTGCTAGTTTCTACGCCCCTGTAAACCTTAAATTGTGTTTTGCATATTAACGATACTTGAAAACTATAATGCTATACTTGATTCTGATCAAGTGTGTGAATATTATATTCCGGCTGAGAACATTGACATTTTTGATCCAATCATTTTCAGTTATACTCTTCTTTCCCGTCGTTTTGAGATAGGGAATTTGCCTAAAAATTGCGAAATGTTTAGCAAGATACTTTCTAAGGATTCTTAAAAAAATGATAGTAAAAGTAAATAATATCTTGAATACTTGTGAAGATCTACAAACGTAATCACAACGCGATTTCATACTATTTATGTAGTAGCTGTACGTGCAGTATACAATTTTTTTTTCAATGCAGTTCGATTCCCTGTTCAAACCTTCGAAGAAAGAAATATGTTTATTGCTGAGTTAGGCGGGAACATTATATACTTACAGTATGATATAAAAAAACGGCGATTAGAGTTTTCTTTGTTCATAACTTAAAACAAAAATGAATTTTTGACAATCATTCTTCCGCATTTATTAGAACCAAAACCAGAATACACATTTGATTTCAGTGCTATAGACATAACAGCTGGTAGTTTTAACTTTACGATACTGTGAGGTTGAGGACATTGACCCACTCGATCGATCATACAACAATCGTCTAACAATGCAAGAAGTTTCAACAATGCACAGTGATGTAAATAAGACAAATCCATTTTTTATTTAAGGTCAACGTTGATCCTTGAATCTTACGACACATAACATGAGACTATAATTAAAACAAATTATATAAATGATTACTTATTCAGTTTTCATTTAAGGGCTTTTATTTCGTTAAATAGCAGAAGATACTAATTGTGATTATGCACGATGCTTAAACATTTATAAGCGTATTTTGTTAAATATTAGTTGGTATAGTAAGTTTATATGTGTAGGTACAAACTTGTCCTTCGTGAATTATTCATAAGCCGTGATTCTGCTAGGCAAAAATGTTTTTATTTTTTTCGCCAAAACCGGTTGTACCGTAGAGTTTATATTACATCTAATGTCCATTTTAGTTGGCGTAATTGCAATAGGTAACTACAATCGTCCACGACGGTATCAATAAGAGTTCATTGGGATCATACGATAAAGTTGCACGATGTAGCGAAAAAGCGCTCCACATTTTTCGATACGTTTGCTTTACATCTAGACGTCTAATTATATAGCAAGGACAGGTTCGCTTGACGTTGGTGGCGTGATACAAGCCATAGTTGCGTGAATGAAGCATGTCGTCCCTCGTGCACATTTTATAATCACATTAAAAAACACTCCTCCGCCGGTTTTGTAAATATATTACAAGTGATCGGGTTTAGTTTACATGCTGTGTGATTACAGCTTATAGCGCTGATATCGTTTCGATTTACAAAACGAACAATTCGACAACCAGTCGCATTATAATACGTTGGCGGGAAGACGTTTTTTTTTATTTTTTTTTTAATAAATCGCTGTGAATAGTGTTGTGATGTGATTGAATACGTAGAACTTATAAATAATTAATGTTAATTCTGTCATTTTGTCTGGGGATAGTTTTTATTTATTTCATTAGGTTATTAATTCAAACAATATATAAAGAGGATAATCGGTCAGGTAAGTTTAAACATCTTTTTATATTCGATCACTATAATTTTTTTTAAAATTCGCTTATTTTTACTGGTTGAGGGTCTCGAGGTTTATATGTACCAACGGTTTGTATTATTACGAAGTGTGTTTAAATTATATTTTTTTTTTATTATAATTAAACAAATTGTTAATAATAAACATTATTTATATTGAAAGTTAAATATTTCTATAACAGACAAATAGTATACTGAAATAAAATACTTGTTATCTGCAACAAAAAAATAATAGAGATTGTCACTGCAAAATGTCATTACTGCCCGATTTGTATGTCTGTGTGTGACTTAGCACATGTCTTGATAGCACCACTATGGCTCGACATTATTTACATTGAATGGTTTTTAATTAAAAGAAAGGTATCAGGATCATTATAACGCGTAATATCTTTATTTGATTTGTATGTCGTAAACTTTAGGGCGGCGTGACTATGAAATAAAAGAGTAATGTAGAGTAGATCTGATAAAAAATATCTGGTTTTTTAGTTAACCACATTTAATTCGGATTACTTTAAATCTTTGTATTTAATTTATTTAAATTACCTACAGTAAATCAAGTGGAATTCTTGATTTCTATATATTTAAGCTAAACGATATTTCAGTTTTTCGACAGGCTGGCACAACACTACGCAAGTAATCGAGCGAGTGAACTTAAAACTTTAAAATGAGGTACGCTGCCAACAAATAGGGAATTTCCAGATCGAATCCCAAAGGTCTCAAGCAAACAATTAGTAAGCAAATAACAAGTTTGTGTTAAAATATTGTCATTTTAAGTAAAACTCTTAAAAGGCGAAAAGTAGTACTAAAGCAATAAAACAACAACGGTCCAGGAATTGCCCAACACATTGGCTAGTGCTTACGAATACTGCCTTTTCTTCTATTATACATATTGGGACGTAAACACTGTTCGCGGCCTCGTGGTGGAATTGACGAAATTTTCGCATAACTTTGACCCATATCCGAGTGGCTTCCATTGATAAGATAACTGTACGTCGTCATCGTAGTCTCGTGTTCCGAGTAGTTATCATGTCGACATGAAATCGGTATTCAGATTAAGATAAGTTAAAAATCGCTTTATTTATGTACACGAGAAAATAACATCGTAGCACCAAGGTCTAAGTCATATGTCGAGCTTGTTCATTTAAACTTTCTCTTATATGAAATTTACTTATTGTAATTTAAAAAGGTACAATCATAAAACTATCTATTCTAAATTCTATGACAATAACAATTAAAAACCGAAATTATTCTTAACCGGTTATATGCTTAAGTACACATCCCTATTGTGAGATGTCAAATTAATCGAAGTTATATTACAAGAGGTAAAAAAAAAATTCTCAAGTTTCGGTTTCCGTCATTTGCACCAGCTTTTTTCCCATTTTTTAATCGGTAATGCTTACCTATAATATACACTAAGGGTGCCTTTAGTGACCGGCAATAAGTCTTAAAATTTGAAGCATTGATGCAACTAATTAATGGCTCAAGAACGGAAGCAACATGTCTGCTTTATCAATCAAGGACTTTCCGAATTCATCTGATTGTAAATTACTTTATTATAGTTTTTTTTCGAAATTACAACAAAAAAATATTGAGTCCACAGCAACATTACAGGATGCAGTAAAATTTTTACCTGACACTTCTTGTGTACTATAAAGATTAACCTTTTCGGGACCGTAACTTAATTACCAACATATTGGGATATGGCGTTTCTCAGGTTTTGTACACACCACATAACATTGATTTGCTGTACCAAGTTTGCTCCGTAATATAATAAAAACTACGCATAACGAGTTATACTTCGATGTGGGTTTTTTGGTTGTTGACTTGTATTTAAAAGTTCCCATTTTATTTAGTCTTTTAAAAAACAATATACAATATTTTCAAGACAAATATATCGGTAGTGGAATTACACCGTACTTTTGAATGTTTGAACATAACTAAAGACGGATTTTAGCATCAGTAAAGATATATTTTAGTATTCCTAAAGCCATCACAAAACGGTTTTGAGCATTGAACGTTTAACCCGTGAATTCAATGGCTTTATTTTTAATCTTCATTGTTAACGACTTTAGAGATTCTGCATAGATAAAAAAATAACTTACCATAAATTTCAAATTGCGTGGCACTTTAGACGTACTGTAGTGAAGTATAGTTTTCTCTGTTTTTTTTTCAAGAGAGAAAGAGAGATAGTGAATACCTACTAATCTAATAACATACATGAGTTGTCAAGGTGTTATTAACAATATTTGACACAATGACGCTATAGAAAATTTGAATAATCGATACAATGAAAAACATTAGATATACTTACCGGGAACTACTTCATGAACCTTCGTATTCATTACGTTAGCATGCAATCGTATTACGTTCTTTGTTTTTATTTATTAATATCTTAGGGTTGTAATTAAATATTGATACAATTGATAATAAGAAAATAGATGTTGCAAAAAATTATTATGACTAAATCGTGCCATTGTGTTTCTTATATACTTTTAATGGATAAACAACGTAA